CAGTGATAGTGAAGGCAAAGATAAACAGCTGGGACTATATCAAATTAAAGAGCTTTTGCACAGCAAAAGAGACAATAACAAAAACAAAGAGAAACCCCACCAACTGGGAGAACATTTTTGCACCCAACACTAATGATAAAGGTATAGTCTTTTTAAAGGGCATTGGGCACATTCTTTCCATCTCTTTACTGCTTTAATCTATTCACAGGAAATAATAGTGGTGATGACTCCATAGAGAACGATTAGAGCTAAGATGTTATGAAAGTAGACACTAGATCACTAAAATTATTTTCTTTCTCATATATTCAATACCTAACTTTCACTGTCTTTGGGTTCAGTCTCTCCCATCAGCACATTTTCAAGTTATTTTCCTCTTTTTCATTTCAATACTTTTACAGAGCTCAATAGTACCTTTTCCATAGGTACAATGCAAAATTAAGTATGAATAACTCAAAAAGTCCCCTTTACTCACTTTTGATTACATTTGATGTCAGTAGGTACTACCCATGGTCTGTGGTGAAGGATTAGGGTGCCATGGTAGTAGGTGTGTTGTGTTGCCACACATCTGAAGAGGAGTGAACCTGTGTCTCTGAATCATACATTGTGTTGTAAATAGTTACCTCAATAAAAAAAGAAAAGCAAATTTGTTCTTCAAATTTGTTGACTAAAATTCACGTAGGTAAAGAGGTCAATACTTTCTATACTAGGAGATTGAACTTGAAAGCCATTGGAAAATTGTTGGTTTTGACAAAGTGTATAAAATTATATTAGCAACAGAGAACAATTATAGGATTGTGCTTGCATTTTCTTATAAAGCTTGTTTGGTATAAAACATCTGAAATTTGTCTGCCTGGAAAGAAATAAATATAGGATAAAGATAAAAAAGTCAAAACTATACCATGAAAATCCAGCTTATTTGGGGATGAACATCTTTATTTATTTTATTTTTTATTGAGGTAAAGGTTTACATTGTTGTTGGTAGTTTGGAAGTGAAAATAAACAGAGAATTCGGAAACAACATATTCTTTCTGGTTTCTAGAATGCAAGTGTAAAAAATACATTTTTATTATCAATTACGCTGCCTCTATTAAAATAGATATGTTTTAGTTGGGTGGGAAAACATTCTTTGAAGACTATTTAGACAATAACAAATTAAAATTTAGGGCATATATGGAAGAAATCTGAAAACCTAGGAACTTCAACTCGTTATCGATGCTTATATTTTGAAGTATTGCTGATTCTGTATTCTCAGAATCATCTTCGCAATTACTTAAATTTAAGATAGATATTTTTTAATTTATGACAAGTTTTTAAGAATAACTTTTAACTCATTATAAATAGGTCATTTATCCTAATATTATAACCTATTTTATTTTTCTACTACAGCTTCCCTGTACCATAAATGTTGAGAACATGAGGTATGGTCTAGACAACTTTGAATGAACTATTTAGAATGTATCTGGAGGAAGGGATACCCTTTTCAAATTCAAACTGAACTGCCACATGGTAGGACTAGTGGCATTCTGAAGTGGATAAAGTATTGGCTATAAAGTAATTATCCCCAAACAAAAGATTTAGGACATGGTCCCTGAATTCCTAATACTCTTTGAAAATGATTTTTTTTAGAGACTGATCATCCAAATATGTTTATATATAATTCAACCATTGTACATCTTAGAAGTGCTTAATTTCTTTGTCTCCAAACAGGTTTGTATTGCTTTGTATAACTTTACAACCTTTTGTCTTTTAGGCAGAGGGATGCTGATCATCTGAAAGAGCTTATCCCAAATGACATTCAACAATTCTACAAAATATTAATAGATGTCCTTATGAAGAAAGCAGTCTAGAAAGAAATGAATTTTGTATACATTAGAATAAAGAAAGATGAACAAGCTATTCTAAGAGAGTACTTTTAAAGCCTTAATAACAATAATGTGAATCATTAACAGGGAAACAGCATGTGTAGTTGGAGAGCACTGGTCTATACAAATCACACAGAAGGCCAAGGAACCCACTGCTCATTTCAGTATGTGCTAACTTTGACAGTTTCTTGGCCCCAAATATAACTGAATAGAAGAAATCAAAATCATATATGGTATTTTAAGTGCCTACATAATATGGTTTTATGAAATACTGGTAAGATTACATCATATGGTTTCTTCCTATGGTCCCTTATCAGATTACTAGGTTGACTTCTGGAATATTCATCACTCTTTATTAAATGCTATGATGTTTCCTAAATAATTTTATTTATTTCATTGAATAAAATTCATCCAAGGCAATGGATAATAAAACATTTCCTGTGTCAGAATGATTTGAGCAAAAAAAATGATTTGAGCAAAAACTTGAAAAAGTAAAATGTAAAGTGTAAACTCTTAAATAGATTATAATTTCCTTGAATTTGTGGCTTAGATATTACACTTTAATGTGGTCTTAAAGAAAACAAGTTTCAACACAATAGGAACTCAACAGTCTGCTGCTACTTTTTATGACACAAATTTATTAGCATAATCGATCAGATTCGTTCATCTTTTAACCATGAACTTCAAAAGAATTTTAAAACTTGTGAAGAGGTTAGTTACTAAAAACAGAACAAAATAAAAAACAAATGAGAAGCAGCAATACTTTGAGAGCAATCATTTCTCACAGCATTGACTATAAGAACAGGAAATAAACAGCCTGTAACCTGTTCCACATAAGTGACACAGCAATTTTATACTGACGTCATCTGTTCCTTTTTTTTTTAAACTACTCCAAACCCTCCTTCTCAGGGTTTTACCATAAGGTTAGTGATGGGCATAAAAAAACTGCGTGAATGTGTGTGTATACTGTACCTAGAGGCTATATAGAGAGAAGAATGTATATGAGAAGATAAACAGACTAAAATTCAGAGGTTAGTTCTGCCCTGTCCTGTATCTCATTTTTTTCTACTTCTCTTACATAGAAGAAGTAGAATAAAATCACATGAGTACCATATAAGGTGAACACAGACCTAAAATAGAGGGTTATAAGAAAAGTAACTATTAGCTTAAGGGAAAACTTGTTTAAGCCATCAGTTTTAATGCCTAAATTTTCATAATCCACATATATGAAAACACTACTCAGTTCATATGTATTCTAAACTATAGGAAAGGAACTAGGAAGTAGAAAACAGAGAAATACCCATATAAAATGGATTTGTCCTTAAGACATTTATTGGAACTCTTTTAAGGTCTATCCCTCATCTCTTTCCCTAACACCTTCACTAAGAAAAGTCATTAAGAATCAAGGAGACAAAATATCCTCTATCTTTTGCTTCTCATCATGCCATAGCATGGATTTGTTAAATTCGCATTTTCCACAAAGTAACACAGGATCCAATATGTCTACACAGGATGGATTTGTTAAATGTGCATTTTCCACAAAGTAACACAGGATCCAATATGTCTATGCAGTTTCTTCCAATCCTCTTTGTATAAAATCATAGTCCATTGTTATTGAGTGGTCTACAGTTTCTCTGTTCTTTATTTTCCTCCCAAAATTCACATAGCCAATTTTTTTCATGGAAGATAATCTTCTGAAAATCCTTTTCTCTTTCAAGAGAATGACAGTGGATCTACCAATTATTCTTGTAATTGGTTAGTAATATCAATTATGTTACCTAGTAATACTTTACAGTATAGGGTTGAAGGTACTTAGCTCTACCTGTGAACAGAAATTACTTTAAGATTTATGGTTTTATAATTACTTCATAAATTGTTTTGTGATTAAAAGTGAAAAAATCTGTAAGTTGTACTTGTTCGTATTCTTTGAGAAACTGAATTGGTTTTGAAACGGTGTCTTATTAGTATCTCAATGTAAAGGAATTTATTAGAATAATTTTTACCCCTTGATCCTAAATATTTCCATATGGTTACATTCTTTATCTCTTCTAATTCTTTCTTAGATATAGTGAACTTAATGTTCCATTAAGACCAGATACTGTGAACATCAGAAAGAGATAAAACATGTTCCAGCAATATCTTTATCAGTTGGAATTGCTCAGGCAGATTATCGGAGCATTACATTGTTAATTAACAATAAGATAACCACTCTCAATCTGTTTCAACATGTTCAGTTAGGCGTGGGGAAATCCAAGAAGAATGAATGCTGTATATCTTATATATCTTCTAAATGTGCAAAAACATCAAACTTCCAGAAAAAAAGAAAGGTAACTGATTCTATTTTGAACGTCTATATTTACTGGGCTTCTTATCATAAAGCCCCAAATGAAACTTCTATTTCCAAAAACTAGTTAAAAACAAATATAATAAAGGATGCTTTGTCCACGCTGAGTTTGCATTAGTTAAGACAGGACTTGGATTCCTGAGGCCTTTTCCCTTTCAGCAGAGTATCTGTCTTGTTAAGAACACAAGGGCACTGTTTGTGACTTAAACTTTCATGTAAATTTCTTACTGCTCACCTAATATAAGCCAGGATTGTGTATTTTATTGTTACAATTCTTATGGGATTGAAGAAGAGGTCAGCAAACTACAATTTCTTAGGAAAAATGTAGGCAGCTTTCCTGTTGTATTTTATAAATAAAATTGTATTGGGATACAGCTTTGCTCATTTGTTTGCATAGCCTTTGCACTACACTGACAGTGTAAAGTAGTTGCAACAGAAATGTTCCAGCATAGCCTGAAATATTTACTATTTGCCCTCTCAAGGAAAAGTTAGCTTGGATTTAGTTGTGTATTTAATTTTTTTAGGAGGAAATTCCTTCAAATGTGACTCAAAATAATTTCTAAAATGATGACTTTGATTGGAGGCTATATTCGATAGTAGATAGTACCAAATGGTCTATGGGTGACATTATACAATAGTTAATAAATGCTCAACCCCCTCCAGACTCAGTTATTTTAATGAAATGTTTCTGCTACCTGACAGAAGCTATACTTTAGCAAGAATATTTAGGAAGCTAGGTGCATTTTTATACCATGTTACAGACCCAGTTTATATAAACAGTATTGCCAACTCACCTGATTCTACCCCTGGGGCGCTCAGATTGCTCTGACATAAAGCTTGTGCTGCTGAGGCGTGAGGCACTGCTGGTTCGGGAAATGGCGGACACATCACTGACATCACTATCTGATGATTTGGCAGAGACGTTATCACAGCTTCTGTACTGATCTTTATGTATGTTATACTAAAGATTAAAAACAAGAAAGTGTAAGCTCCATCATCAGATAGTGGAAAAAAGAGACATATATGGTGAGGTTAATGACTATTTAATCCACACCAAATAAAAGTGTACCTTTGTAAAAGTATAAAATCTAAAATAATCCAGCACTAACAAAAGATATTATTACCAATATAAAAGTCCTCTATCCTTTGAATGTAAGAAATGGTTTATGAAGACTGAATTATAAACAAAAGAGTTAAATACTTGGGTGAAAAATTTATGGAACTTTATTTGCATATACTACAACCTCAAAATTGTGTATTTTTTCCTAGTACATCAGCTTCTCGCTTGTTTTAATTATTGCCTGTTTTATTCACTTTCTCTTCTACCTGTGGTTTAGACTGCATCCATCTGTCTGTGTCTTGATATGTTCTAAAACAATTCAGTTGATGTACAGTGTCTATTCTATCAGTCTTTCAAATTTCGTCAATAAATTTATTCCTTCACAAAGAAGGGCTGATATTAAAGTAGTGTGGCTAAGCCACAGACCAGCATAGCCAGGGAGGTAGAGACTGGGCTTTAGCTTTTTTCTGTTATGCTTTAATAGATATTTTCAAATTTCAACTATTTACCAGTGTCAAAAGTAAAAAACAGGATTCCTATTAAAATTTTAATATACACTGACATTTAAATATGTAAGTATATCTATGTACATATGTAAATATGTAAACATTTAAATGTCCTACCTTTAAATATGTCTTTAATTTGTCTTTGGAATAGCAATACCTAAGGTTTTAGAATCATGAGGTAAAAGATTAAAAATTACAAAGTTGCCAAAGCAGATACTCTGTTCTTCTATTTGTACTTTTTATTGCAATGAATCACAATGAATAGCTTTCTATATTACATACTATTTATATATGCATTCTAATTATAATAAATAGGAAATAATATGTAATTATATATAATTTTAAACTAATATATAAGTGATTCTTAGTTATTAGTAAGAAAGATGATATAAATTCTTACATTAGAGAACATATAACTTAAAAGCACACAAAACTACACATTGGGATTTAAGGTTCTTGTTAAGTAACTTAGTTTTAGATTTATATGTGTTGAGGTGAAAACATCAAGTGTTTGTTAACCCGTGGAAAAACAAATCCATCCTCTTATACTCTGGATCAGATGAGCTTAATGACTGTAAAATAATCCAAGCATTGTTTTAAAAAATGTGTATATACAATTATTTGCTAAAGTTCACTAAATAAACTAATGCTAAAATCTGGATCTATATATACAAAAAGAAATATGATAATACTATAAACTTTTAACAATCTAGAGAAGGGAGACACACTTATTTAATAATTTCTCACATGATAACAGTTTAAACCTAAGATATTTCAGTGTTAATTCTTTATCTCTCCTATGTACCCATCAGGCAAAGACCTTCACATCAAGCATAAAAACTATGAGATTATCTTTCCAAAGATTTCTTTTGTAGTTACACGATTTGTTTTTGAAAGTCATATGCTAAATTATAATCCAAAAGGAAATTCATATATATTATGTCCAGACTGCGCTATTTGTACAACTTCATGCCTGATCTAAAATTAATATAATTTAAGATAATGTATTCAAATTCTATTATATCTGATAGCATGATCCTGATGTAACATGATTTCACTTCAATCAGAACAGTTTATTTACAGAAAAGCTGTGTTTAAAATTAAATGTATTAACATATAGCTAATACTATTTACAGGGGTACAAACATAGTTCCTATGTTAGTTCCTTTAAAAACTACTTTTCTAAGCATGTAAGTTACATAATTATTATAATGTTTTGAAACATATAGAAACAACAAGTTTGCCCATGAGGGAACAGGAAAATGTTGGGACCTAATACAATGACAACTTATTTAATTGTAGATTTTCTTACATTGTGTTGACATCCAGAACAAATGCCAGTAAAAAGCAGTGTTGACTATACCATAAGGTTATGTGGTGAGTGCACATGGAAATATTTCTCCAACTAAAGAAATTTTCCTTTTCTACAAGCCATTGTTTTCCTTAACCTTACTGCATATAGATATTTGCTACTCTGGCAAAGGAGTCAAACAAGGGATTTTAAAACACTGCATGTTATTTATTTAACTTTATATATTGGAGTAAAGAAAAATTCATCTTTCTGAAATGAGATGACAATTTTCTATATATTGGTGAGATGAAGAAAATGAAAGACTTTTATATTCACCTTTTACAACTTCATTTAATTTTTACAAACTCTGCTCAAAATTTAAGGAATTGCTTTGACTTTCCATCTAGCATGATTTGCTAAATTTTCTATTTAGCGATTATTTTTTTTTAAAGATTTATTTATTTATATAAGAGCTGGGGTACAGGCCAGAGATATGGTGGGTGAGAGGATTCACCAGAACTAGAGCAGGGAACAGACCGGGCAGACTGATGAAATACACTGCTGAGGGGAGCAGCGGGTGAGACAGGAGAGGTCTGCCGTGCCATGTGGGATTCTTGCCTGCCAGCCGGGATCAAACCAGTGCTGCAGAGGCTGAGGACAGCTTCACAGCACTGCGCTCAAACCACCTGCCCCACCAGGGGAGGCCCCAATTACATGTTTTAATATAAATATATTAATTACATTTTGAGAAACTTAATATCCCTCAGGAGGAATTTGTACTAATCATTAAGCCAGGAAATAAGTAATCAATGTGAGGGGAGGTCTTAATTATAGAGCCGCTATTTTGTAAATAAATAATAAGAAACACTCAGCAGCTACTTACAAAACCCATCACATCAATCTTGATTTCTGTTTTGGGCTACAGAAACATAAGGACTCTTTAAAAGGTGAGTGCCTAAATGAAAATTTAGCTTCCAATTATGAATTTCACCCCATCATTGAGGCATGCAACTCTGTATTACATCAATTTAAAAAGCATGGGTGTCACATTTCAGGAATACCAAATAAGTTTTGTGTTTTTTCTAAAGCAAAGTTAGTGATAATTCCTTACTTAGGATTGATATTATGATTAATCAGCTTTTAAAGGAGGTGCTAAGTTTGGGTACATATGCCTTCTATATAGTTTTTGCCCTGAAGAAAAACTAGCTCAACTAGTGTTTGGCTATAAATATTTTGAGAATGATTAACCAGTTTCTAATTTGGCAGAATTTCAATTATGGTATATTGCTTTATCCAAAATGCCAAATATATTAAGATACTACAAAAAATTCAATAAAGAATAAAACCCAAACTTTTATATCAATTTATGACAATACTGTTCTCAATTATATGAAGAAAAATAGTTTTTGTGAAGTAAATTATAAAGAGGTTAGGATAAAAGGCTGAAAAAGATAAAATTTAAATTTTTTACTGTAAACATTATGACATAATATGAAATCAGAATGGCAAAAATAATTTATCTTTTACTTGACATATAAAGTAAAATATAAGCCAAATCTTTTTATTTTAATATATATTTTTCCTAACCTATATTCTTGTTTTTAAAGATGTTATATCTTTGATCTAATATTTACTGCCATATGTACAATGATATTTAAAATCAGGAGTTCCAGGGCTCCCCACAGGTTTTACTAGCTTTGGTAAATCCTCCTGTTCTTCTGAGCCTGTTTTCAAAAATTTGTTAAATAAAAGAGCTGGAAAAGAAGATAATTTTGAGGTGTTTTCAAGTTCTAAATTTCTATAAGACAGAGAATTTGAAACCACCCAAACACAATAAGCCTATTTTGTAATAATTAATTGCGAATTTAAGTATTAATGATGGCATAGACTTCTAGGGCACTGTACTTTGTAGATATTTTGGATACTCATTAAGGGATAGAGTCTTAGTTTAGAATGATCTGGAAAGGATTTCATTATTTTATCCTGATTGATATATCTCTTTCCTGCTTCCTACTCTTGCCCTACCTAACTATGCTCGCATTCTATTTGATTTCATTCTGACTTATCACTAAGAAATAAAGCATTTCCAGCTTAAATGAAGCATTTACAGTTTAAGGAACCTTTTCAAATAACTACATCAAATTGTGGAGGAAAACTAATTTAGCCTGTTTCACAGTTACTGAATTTATATTAAAAAACAAAAATGATGATGGTTTCCATAAAGAAGACAAACAAGCTGAGTAAGTGGTAATACCATGAGAATAAACCACAGAAAAGATATAGGGAACTGGAACCAGTAACTCTATGGAACATGAAGATATTTTGCTTATTGATTTTTTTCTTTATTTAAGATTTTACAATTGAAAACAATGTTTGAGAACCCTAGGTGTTGGGCTTCACAGAAGAACAGTGATCCTAGCCATTGTCTTAGTTGGAAAACCTTTTGCATCTGACCTAAGATGTAAAGTGGTAGACATGAATGTATGGTGGTCTAGTGAAAAATCCTACTTTGTAAATACTGCTATACTTTTGTTGAATCTATGAATGCTTGCCTAAAATGAGACAACTTCCATTACTTAAAATTAAGTAGGTTTTTCAGGTCCACATTTCAAACTAGCAATATTGATTTAGTATAGTTTTTATTTATTTACTTTTGAATTTCTAGCTCATTACTTCCAAAGGGCTTCTTGACATAAAATTGTTAGCACAGGTTGTCTGGTCTTGACTGCTGCCACTCTTGTATTCTAAAAAAAGTCAATGTAGCAGATAGTATATTTAAAATTACTTCATCATATATAAAATTTCAAGCATATTTTAATTAAAATTATTAGATGTTGGTTAGCAGTTGATAAATGCCTTAGTGTATAAAAAATAAATTATAACATAAGTTAAATGCTTATTCACATTTTGAAATAGTGTGGATTTCTGTTCTAAAAGGCTTAAATTAGTACTGTTACTAAAGACAGAACAATAAGAAATCTCACATTGCAGAATTATGTTATTTACTAGCAAATCTCAATATCAATATACAAGCATATTTGACATAAATCTTTATTTTGATATTTTAAATGCAATATTAGAGAGCAGTCAAGCCACAAATTGGTTTATTTATCTTGCTATTTATGTGAGATTGACTAATGACAATCATTATGTGGCCTAATGTCAAGTATTTAAATTTTTTACAAAAAACATTCAATCCAAGTGAATAAGTAATATTTTAATAAAGTTATATCTTTAAAAAAATGAGAGGTTTTTCAAATTTTGGTAGAAAGTATGATCTAAAATTATCATTTGAATGACAACCTCTCATATATCTTGGTCCTTTTACTAGTCCTAACATGTACACATACTGTACATTTTTAATAGGGAAATTATTGTTTGGATACTACTAGTTTTACCTTGGAATATTGCTCGCGATCAAGTTCTTGACTAGAACCAGACCCTGTTGTCTGCTTAAATCGATGCACTTTCATTTTCATCTGTCTTGTTCGCTCCTCCACTACTAAGCTTGCTGCAAAAACACACAATGGAAGCCTATTAAAACATGTGAAGCACCTTTTAGGAACTGAATGGTATAAGATTTAAATGCGTTTGATATAAGTTCAATTAAATGAAACTCAGTGTAACACATGATTAAATTAAACAAAATGCAGAATATACAATGCTAGCAACTGTTAATCTAAAGATGAACATGACTCAAATCACACAAAATGGGGAACACAAATGTTAGTAACAGAAGCACCTATTTCTTCATTTGATAAATATTTTCTAATCCACTCATAAATTATTACGTGAAATCAAACTTAATTGTGAAAATATCTTTTCTACCTAGTCAACTAGTTATTGCATGTACATATATAGAGAAAACAAATATGCACACTAAGCACATCACACATATATGCACATGCTTACATGCATGCACACACCCACTTAACATCTTCAGCTAAGAGTCATTTAAAAATATTTTAATTAATGAACATCTGTTTCTTCCAAGGCAATTTTATAGTCATTAATTTCTAAAAATATCTTCTTGAATATTTGCCAGTCTTGAAAATAGACTAAGAGAAAGGATTAGCTATATTTTTTATGGCTATGTGTGACAACATATTGAAAAATCATAAATTTTAATAATATGACATAAAACTTGCAAGTCTTTAATTTTAATACGCAAAGAAGTGCACTGTAGGTAAAATTTTATTAATTGTCTAAGTAGCAGGAACGATTTTAGATGGGAAGTAGAATCAGAATTTATCATAACTTTAAGACCTGCCTTAAATTTTTGCATATTTACAAGTGAAGAAGAAAAAATGAGTGATGAGTACAGTTGGGTGCAGGGCAGACTTTTCAAAAGCTTCTATATGTGTTATATCAGACTTAAATTTATTTTTACAACTTAATTTTTGTCAGTTCCACAGGTTACTGAACCTCTACAACAAGTGCTAAAATTAACTTTTGAAATGTATATATACATATGCAAATGAAAAATACAAATTTTGTATGTGACTAATACATTGAGACCCTACTAAGAAGACCTAATGATTTAAAGGATAGTGGAAATGTTAAAATATCTTTTTTGACCTGGCTGTTAATTTCACCTCTCACAAGAAGTTTATAAGGACACTTGCTGACAAATTTTTCTGGTGCAATGATTAAACATGACCTATTTATTATCTTCGATAAAAGGAACTGATAACCCTTTAAAAATAAATATGTAGTTTTTGTTGTGAGTTCAAATGCAAATTAATAGTCCAAGAAGTAAACACACAGTTTGAAATTTTTGGCTCAATGTTATAATCATAGTTTATCAACAATCTATCAGATGTTTAGTTTTGTTTAAATTCAGTAAATTAGACAGACATATTAATCCCCAATATCACAGTTATGGGAATTAAGCAATGACACATACTTGGTTTTGAAAATGTTTACTTCAGAAACAATAAGTAGTGACAATTATGATTAAAGGATGGTGCAGCAGAGTTTGAGAAAAGACATTTGGAAATTTATTAATTACCTGACAAAATATAAGGAGTCATAAGTACTAAAGCTAAAGACTACCTGAGGCTAGTTACAAATTGATATAGAGTTATTTAAAAAATTGAGTTATGTTTATAATAAGTCATATGAAACATAAAAAAAGTACAAATATCTGTTCTTTACCTTGTGTCAATGATGTGGGTACTTCTGATTTGCTCAGTTATTATTTTAAGCTTTGAGTAATTTAAATGAACTGCAGTCAGTTTCATTCCATAATTAAATCTTAAAGCAATTCAAAACAGTCTATACTTGTAATAAAAACATTTAAATGTTAGCTTAACTATTCTCACAAAATATTAATTTTATTTGAAACTTTTTGATATGGGGGTCAGATCATAGTTTTTGAAAGCTTTGCCTTTATTATCATGTAATTATTAATGAAAATTACTTAGACACTGAAAGGGCTATTTCCCAGGAGCTTCTGGCCTGAAGTAGTCTGAAATAGTGGCCATGATTTAATATTGCCAGGGCAACATCTCATTTCTTTAGATTAGATTACTTAGTTTATGACATGATTGTATTTAAATTTCTAATTCGTAAAACTAAAACTAAATAAGAAGATAGTGGTAATATAACTAAAAGAAATCTTCAAATGCTTTTTAAGAACTTATTTTTTGCTATCCAGAAAATGACTAATGTTCTGTCTCTATTCTTAAGTAAAAGTTGACATCTTTTAATCTGTCCAAGAAAGAAAATCTCCAAATTAATGGCTCAAAATCATCAGAAGATCCCTTTATCAGCAAAAGTGTAGTTGCTATACAATACTCATTGATTGCTCTCAGATTCCAAGAATACATGCAAAATGCAAATAGTTTATCATTTACTTACTAATATGGTAACACACAATGCTCAAATTTTTTAGTATTTCTCATTTTCTGATGACATGAAAATTAGTGCATATTCTCAAATAGCAGTTTGTGCAAGATATGTTTCCATATATATTTTTCATAAACATCAATAAAGAAATTTCAGTGAAAATTTGGAAGTTCTTTAATTTTTTACAGATTTTGCTTACTTTGCACTTTATTTTTTGACTTTATATAGTGGGATAAAATAACATTTCTGGATTATAGGTACGTCAATCTAAGTAGGTAAATTTATTAACTAAAATAGAGTATCACAAATTTGAAGCAGAAGATATTTTCCTATTAATGTACATGATTATACTGTAATATAATACTTAGTAATGATTCCATGGAGAACTGAATACCTGCCATATGATTATCTGTCCAGTATGTTACTGTAATTAAAATACTCACAGCCCAGAAAGTTTATTTATTTTACTTCAAAAAGAATGGTTAATGATCATATTGTTTATATAATTTGAACAACTTTAATGCCAATAGCAAAATTAAGATGAAATAAAATATTTTCCAATTTTCCACAAATCCTAGCTTTAAGTTCACATTTTATGAACATTCTGAATGGTAGTAGTTTTGCAAACTAACAAATTATTTAAATGCCAGTAGCTGTTCCTTTATCAAAAGATTTTAAAATATGAGGAATTAAAAAATTTAACTTTAAAACTTCCACATCTTACAGAGTTAAATATCCCTCATTTTCTATATTAAAATAATCATGGCACAATTTCATTTAGTTTTTTAATGAAAACATACTTTTCATACAATGCAGTCAGGAGATAAGAGCATGTACTATATACACTGTATTTCAAGAATAAGCACAGATAGTATGATAGGAATATAAGTAACTAATCTATCTCCCCTAGCACCTAACACATAATTAACACCATAATTTTATTTAAAAGTATTTTTTTAGCTTGGAATTTTTTTTTTTTTTTTTTTTTTTTTTTTTATAGAGGCATGCTTTATTTATTTGTTTGCTGGTTTGTTTTGTTTTTTGTTTATACATGCACTGGGTACAGTCAGAAGCGCGGGAGGGTGAGAGAATTCACCAGAGCCAGAGCGGGGAGCAGAGCAGGCAGAAGGACCGAAGTACACTGCTGAGGGGAGCAGCGGGCGGCAGGAGAGGTCTGCACGCCATGTGGGACCCTCCTCCGGTGGCCGGGGAGCAGCCGGGGATCGAACCGGCGCCGCAGAGGCCGCGGGCAGCTTCGCAACCCAGCGCTCAACCGCTGCGCCACCGGGGAGGCCCTAGCTTGGAATTTTTTACTCTACTTTAGTAAGCTCAATGATGTCGTTGATATTGAATAAATTGTGCTTTTTTGAAAAAAAAATTTCTCTAAAATATTCATTGAACATAATCTATTTTCTTTAGTTCAACTTTATATATATATTTTTATATATACATGTACATACATACAGTTAATTGTTATCTTTAAACTGGCATTTTTATTAGAAAAATCTGCAAATATAAAATAATCTACTCAATATTACAATTAAGTATAAAACGAACTTATTTAGGGGATAAATTAAATTCATACATATGAAATTACTTTTGCCTCCTAAATCTAACAAAAATAACTGACTGGAGCATATCAGGTGAAATAAGTAAAACAATTTATATAGTATAATTTATGACAATTTTAATGAAAAGTATTTAGATATTACTACAACTATTCAGATTAAAATGATTACTTCTCCTTTCATGTCACATACCTTGTTATGAAATCTTAATCTAGTGTTAAGATGATCTTTGATGAACCTATGAAGAAGCTGATACTTGCAAACATTGTTTGTACCTGTAATGTACTTCTCTAGATCTATCCATTTTATAAGATTCATGAAAACTAATTTAAAAACAAAGCTTAAAAATCTTTAATAAATCTTCCCTAACCAATACAGCACTGAAAAATTTCTGTAGTATCACCTTCAAAGAGAAGGTGATTTTTTTTGAAATTCCTTGAATTTATCAGAAATTTGTGATTTAAAAAAAATATTGTAAATAAGTTATGTGTAATTTAGGACCAATATAATTTCAATATTAAACTTTCATAAATAAATTTAAACAATTATTTATGATTTTACCAGTATATACAGATGAACTTGTGCTGATCTTTAATTCCTCAACTCCTTTCTATTTCCCCCTATGCATTTAGAAATTCACAAGAATTTGCTTTTTAAAATGTTTGTTTTTATAGGTAAAAAAGATAATCCATATAAAATACTGTTAAACCTCGTAATATTTTCTAGTATTCTATAGGTGAATTATAACTGTAAAAGTGTATAGGAATAATGAAAATGTCTGTGTTATTAGATATATTAAAGAAAAAAGATTGAGTGTTGTATTTGGTAACAAAGTTTTAGCTCGTACATGTGTCAAAGCTGATATGTAATATCTGGACAGAATAATTAATCTTGTGGAATCAATTACAATATGGCACCACACTTTATGAACAGAAAAATTAATGCCTCTGCTTCTTTGCTGCTTAGCGATAAAAAGAGTCCAGCAATGTCATAGGGAAAGTAATGATAAGTAACCACTTATCTGGACTTGTCAGGTAGAATGAAGTATATTAATGAAACAATGTCGCAGTAATTGAAAAAAACTCCTTTTCTG